GAATGTGAGCACATGGGCATACAACTTTTCTGCCTCCATCCAAATGCAGCCGCCGCAGCCGGGATTTGGTCGCGCGACCTGCAGGCCAGCATCCAAGTACCTTAGCCACTAGACCCCCACGAAGGGACTAGAGAGCGCCAATGATGCACTGCTGTGCAACATCGGCGCTGCTGTTGCACTGCTGTGCAAATCCATGCAGGGCATGGATTTGCTCAGGCAGTTTCTAAGATCCTCTGCTAATAACCGCTTTAATGTTGTGGCTACCAATACATGACTCAATTATGCGAAACCGAAGCCATTCGTCGAGCTGCTACTTTCGATGGGACCAAGTTCTTCGTCAAGAGCATTGTTCGGCGCCATTGTGCAACAGCTGTTAGCACAGATTGTGGTACAGCAATCATGGCGCAGCTGCTCCGTAGTATACTGCACCCGAGTGATATCAAACGCAGAACAGCAACAGTGCACCACAAGCAGACCATTGGGTTAACTTAGAGCCTCAAGAAAACGATTGGAGACATGCTTTCAGCCTCGGATAACAACAATTGCGACGAAGTCTTTCATACATAAGATTGGCCTATAACATGCCTCGTGAAGAAATTAATGGAATTGAACCTTTTAGTCTTGTTTACAGCCGCGACGTTACCACGATGCTTGACGTGATGCTTCTACAAACTCCGTCTGCCACGACTTCTCCAGATACAAACGTCTTCAATCAGTGTACCAACGCAGCGCGGAATCTTGCGCGGCAACGCATGTTGGCTTGTCATGAGCTAGATGCTTGCTCATGACACCACAGCTTACACCACAGCTAAACACCACAGCATTATAGAGCGGTGGCGCATACAAGATGGGTGACCTCGTCTTGATATCAATGTGACAACGGGTCACTAAGAAAAATGGTTTCGCCGGTAATTTGGACCCTACCATAATAGGCATCGCTTAGGCGGAGTCAAATACGAAGTTTTGTCAGCAGAGCCATGCCGCCACTCTCGTACACCACGTTCATTTGATGTGGTTCGTGTGATCAGGACGAAGCCGTAATATGCGCCCGGTCGGCAAGCTGCAAGCTTTTAGGTGCCGTGCCTGCCTTGAATCATAATTGACATAATTGAACCATAATTGAAGTAGAAAAAAAGGGCAGACAAGCACAGTCAAGTGGCAGACAAGTGGCAGTTTTCTGTCTCTGGTTTTTCGCAGGCTTGCTTGTCGACTCTACGCATAGATAACCCAAACATCAATGCTAACTTGCAAACGATTGTGCAGTTCCTGCGCGATGACAGCCCTGTTGATAGTGATGCCACGAGCATTGACGTAGAGGACCTATTTTATTTCCTCCCACATAATCACCTTTTCACCGCAGTGAAGAAATGCATTACATGTCGCAATGATAAACCTACCTTCATAGGTCTAAGTGGCAAGTAAGTTGTATCTTTAACACCACGTCTGTTCTTTCACCTGGAGTCTTTATTTGTTTCTTTCTGAAGTGAAGTTTGCCTGCAGAAGAAAAGTGTATGTATTGGGTCTAGGGTGGCTCTAGTTTTAAGCGATATTTTTCCAAGTAGACTTCATCGGGCGCTCCAACTGGTTTTAACACGATAGCTTTAGAGAGCTCGTGTCGCAGAAAAGCCACCACTGGCGTCGGCCTCGTCGGTAGTGAGCGAAAAATTGTTTGTGCGTCTGTGACGAAAAATCAAGTTGCCGAGATAGCCGCGGGAAGTCACTACTTGTCCACGCGTGCACGCGCGATCACATTAAAAAAAGCCATGCATTCGAAGAAAAAAAGTGCTCAAGGTCATGAGGCGCGGTAGTTCCTTTGCCCTGCCACTCCTCCCTGCTTACCTTCCAGTGCTTTCGTCGGGACGAGAGAAGAGATAATGCAACTGCAGCATGCGACGAACCTTTGTAACTTCACTCGCACTAATTGGATTCTTAAAATTTGCGCGGCGTTGAATTCGTGAGGCGAAATACTCCTCTATTGAATTTGTTTAATAGTTACTTGAAAAATTGTTTCAGGGCCCCGTTAACGCGTGTTGTTCGACTGGTGTCCTGATGAAAACGGGCCTATTCGGCGATAATAGCGCGCGCTGGTCCATTTTACTGTGTGCGTATTTGTGTGCGTGCGTGTGTATGTATCAAAACATATGAATAAGTATGCACTTAGCGGTTGAAGGCTGCACTACAGGCCGGACGTCACTATCGCGTTCAATTCTTAAAGGCGAAGCTTAAGGGTCCCCCAATTTTTACAGGCCTCCGTGATCGGGATTCTTCGTTATGTCGATGATTGCATTGTTTTTTTTTTCGTAAGGGAACTTGAGATAGATCAGCAGGTATTCTAAAGAGTTTTGAACAGTGTGGTCTTGGCTTGAAGTTCACTTCTGAATACCTAAAAGACCAATGTGTCCAATTTTCAGCTCTTCAGCTGCAGATTTTGCCCACGCATTTGTGTTGGCGCTACACCCAAAGGTCCGTCAAACATGTGCTGAATTACAAATCGGGCCACACAAAACCGGTTAAACATGCGATCGCGCTCTCTCGTTTTAGCTCGGCACTGAAGAAATCCTGCACATATTTAGTTGAAAAAAAAAAATGCTGGGCAGGTCCAAAAACTTAGACAAGCAGGCTTCCCACGAAATTTGTTAAATGTCTGCGAAAAGTTAATCAACAAAATAAAAAAAGAGGCCCTGGTGTTGGTTGCAACTTGTATGAGAAGGCAAAGCATAAAAAATTTGCTGTTCTTCTATATGTTCCCCATTTTACCCACTGCCTAAAAATGTGGCATCAAGATATGACGAGTGAGTGTTTGTTCTGCCAGGAAGAAGTTATCCACTTTATGTGCCGAAAAAGATAGACCAGTCGCAAATCAGATATATGTCCACCAACATACATGCAACGTTAGACATTTTCATAATTATTTATATTGTTTCACCGGTGTAGTCCACTCCACACCCTTGTCATGCAATCGTGTATACGTGGTTCAGACAGGTCGCTGTCTGTTAGACTTCGAGAACATTTTAATTCTCTGCAAGGCCACTCCGGCCTTCATCTCGCAGCCTACTGTTAAAAGTGCGGCTTCGTGCTGCTCTTTGATGATGCTACTCTGCTGTTTCGGCATAAAAAACAAAGAGTGTGCTAACCAATTGATGCTGCGCATATTCACGCGATTTCTTAGTTTTGCGTCGGTGTCCCTCTGTGGCCATACATGATAAAGAGTTGAGCTTTCTGGGTTCTGTAGGATGTTTGTGCTATTCCTTGTGTTGCCTAGATTTTGTTGATTTGGCCCCTCATGCCTTTTTCTCTCTCCGTTTGCCCTCCCTTGCTTTTTATCCTTTCCTTTATATATTACCTTGGCATTGCAATAAAGCTTCAGTTGATAGTAAATTATGCGCTTGTATGTCCCTTTCGTCTACTTGTTGTTTCCATTAGTTTTTTGCGCAGTACATTATGAATCAGTACCAACTTGCCACACTGGCAATTATCCTGCCTTGAAGCCCGTTGTGTCTGTTCTCCTAGTGTTTTTATTATCTTTTGTCCTTTACTGTTTACGTCGTCTCTAACTTTGATGGCTCAGTTTACGTTTTCGACTAGAGCTGCGGCGTTGAAATGAAGCCGTGTGTGCGTGTGCGTGTGCGTGTGTGTGTGTGTGTGTGTGTGTGTGTGTGTGTGTGTGTGTGTGTGTGTGTGTGTGTGTGTGTGTGTGTGTGTGTGTGTGAGTGAGTGAGTGAGAGAGAGATTGGAAATGCCGCGTGCTAGTTGCTGTAGAGAGTGAGAAGGCAGAAGTGTTTGGCTGCTCTGACTGAAAACAAACCACCGTTCACTGCGGCTCGTTCCTTTTGTCATTTCTTTTCGTGACAAAATTATCTTGCCAGAAGATTTCAGCAGAAACCTTCAACTTGCTTTGAAATTTTAACAAAGACTGCGACTTTAGTGCTCAGATAAATTTAAACGAGGAAGGGCGAACTTTCAAAACATGTGTAGTACTTAAATTTTTAGGGAAAACGTATTGATAATTTGAACAGAAACCACTTATCTCGACTCTCTTATACATACGAAAGACAGGTGCGCCACAGTACTAACGTCAAAGGCTGTATTTAATCTCGAGTTCTGCCCTAGCAAGAATCATTTTAGGCGAGGGAATAAAAAGCAACAAAGAGAGAAAGCACAGTTAGCCGAAAACAGCCCTCGCGTTGCAGAAACAGGGGACTGCTCCGGAAATAATACACCTGTTGTAAAACACGCGTGTGCTGCAAATGTTTTTTTTTATTTTATAGATGCGAATCACCGTCACTCTACTGCCACAGCTTTGTCGAAGCAAATAAACTGTGATGTCACATACGCAGCGTAACAGCAGACTGTGAGCACTTTCGGCGCGTTTTGGGTGCGTGGAAAAAAAGAAGGGTAATTCTGAAAAGAGAGTGAAATATACCGGATCACGTCACTTTGTGTTACATGGCTCTCAGCTCGCGTTTTTACGTCGATGAACCTGTGTCGTGATGATATATTTCGAGCAACATTCGTGCCCTGTGCAGCATTCGCAGTTTGCTAAAAGATTGTTAATTCTGTTTGATGTTTCCGGCTGCTGAATTGCTCCAATAGACCTCAATTCATCTCTGCATTGTAACCTAAAAGGGGACCTCATATAGAGTCATATTTTCTATTTGAAGAAATATAAAAGAAAACTTCTGAAATATAACAGGTAAGATTCTTACTTTAGTTTTTTGCTCCAGGTACCGTACTTTATTGCCGCAAATCAGGTATGAATCAGCCCAACGCGTGAGATGTATTACAATGACATACCCGCTCACGGCAATGCTTTCTTCATACTCGGCCTCAGAGAGGCTGAGTAATCAATGATGTTCGTCCGCCGACTATACGTCTCTGAATCTGTGCACATGAGTGACAGTGTTTTTTTGTCACTGCGACCATCTGCGAACATGACTGTAAGTTATTTCTTTTTTACCTTACATGACTTTTCAAGTGCAGTTGTGCACCACATCGTCTATGGTTTATCATTCAAGTAACGCACGCAAAGAGGGTGTCTGCTCGCGTTGTGCACATAGGAAAGGTAAGCCCACGACAAAGTCGCCGCTATCAAAAGAGAGATTACGCGTGACCTCTAGACGCATTCTCGGTTGCAAGAGCCGTTGCGATGATAACCGATCAGCTTGTCGTGACAGTAACACGAATGCTCCACGTGTGTCAGGTGCAACGCACTGAGCGATATTCAATTGACTTAAAGGCGAACAGACTAGGACTTGCTTGAATTCGGATCTTCGGACCACTCATACAAAAAAGGTAAATGTTTTTTTAAGCCAGACAGAAGTAAAAGTTGTTCTCGTCGTAACTTCCACCTTTCTGTCTTTTCTGTCTGTTGTTGTGCGTGCCAGCTAAAATGAGTATCGTTATGCAACCCAAGCTTTTGTAGCTTCCGGGGATATCGCAACGAACTTCATATATTTATATATTCATGTCACTAAGAAGCTTACGATCTAGATATATAAATGAATGTGTTCCCGTATGCACTTTGGAGCATACTAAGGTTAAGGTAGCTTTATTGAGCTTCTGGAAGGTGGATGCGAAAAAAAAACGGTGAATGTTCCCGGGTTGAATCCTTGAGTTGTGAGTCTCCGAGCATTGAGTCTATACAAGCTTGTAAAAACTGGTATTGCCTAGCACATTAGTTTTTATTGCTGATACACTGAGTCGCTTCCCAATTTAAACATTAAAATCGAGGCAATGTTATGCCACCAAACCATGCTATTGTCACGGGGTCGTGACGTGAACGAACATAGCAGCAGGCTTCTTGAAGGTGAAACTATTTGTTTGGCCGAACTTGTGCCCGCAAAACGCAAACGCGAGTGACAGCAAGCAGTTCATGTTGCAAACTGATATCGACGGACTCAGCGTCGTTAACTGATAAACAGATTCGTGGAAAGGCGTGTCTGCTAGGACAAATGTGGCGTTATCACTGGTGGCCGTCCTTGTTCTAGAATCCAGTCAGCTGTTCGCTCAAGCAAAACAAAGGACCTCAAAATAATAATGAATGCTCTCAAACTATCTGGCGCAATTCGCACAAAGCAGTATCTACACATGCAAGGAGAGAGAGAGAAATAACTCTATATGGTTGAAAAGGAAGGAGTTTCGGAGCTAATTAATTTATAGATATGTCATGTTTAACGCCCCAAAACCACCATATGATTATGAGAGACGCCGTAGTGGAGGGCTCCGGAAATTTCGACCACCCGGGGTTCTTTAACGTGCACCCAAATATGAGCACATGGGCCTACAACATTACCGCCTCCATCAGAAATGCAGCCACCGCCACCGGGATCCCATCCCGCGACCAGCGGGTCAGCAGCCGAGTACCTTAGCCACAAGACCACCACGGCGGGGCGTTTTGGAGCTAGATGAGTGAGTTTCCATGTCCGAAACTCCACTGGCTTGCACCGCCAGCCGGACGTAGCCCGGAAGTGCTAGTTGCACCTCAGGCTCTGAGCTAGCGAGGAATTCCTCCCACTGCTCCAATGAGTTTTCTATTCTATGCATACGCTGTATGCGATTGAGTTCGTTTGGCTGTTTAACGCAGCTCCAAGATATATGGTAGAGGGTCGGTGGTGAGTCGCGACGCCACGGATAATCGCGCCCATACAAAGGTCTATGAATTTTGTCGAGTTTTGGTCACTCAAACGCCTCTAACAATCATATAGTCTGCTTCGTGTAGTCCTGGCACGTGCAATGAATCAGTCGCATAAAACACCGGAAGAAACGAACACGTGCGGAATGGTCACTTACTATGGGGCACGTTGTAGTGCAACTCTCCGGGTTGATTTCGGCCCCAAGGGCTATCCTATCCTGGTCTGTTTCAACGTAGTGTAACTATTTCACACAAGTACGAATGCATGCAGCTGATAGATACTTGTTATGAACGCACGCTTTATCTCTACTGTTACTATCTTGCGAGAAGGGCACACATCTTGCTTCACCTAAAATGATGAGTTATTTATTGTAATCTTTATTATATCAATCTTCTCTTATGCAAAGTGAGTAGTTAGTGCCGGCTGATAAAAGCTTTTCAATTCTTTATTAGCCACTTCTTGACATAAACGAAGAAAGGGTATTTTTTGAGCTCGTTTGTTTGTTGAACACAGCTTTCTTGAAAACCAACAGTTGAGGTGCTTGTTTGTGTGCTTATATTGGCAAGAGCACGCCATTATCGCCCCAAGGCACCTAGTTTATTGAGCAGATACTCCCGGACCCGGACGCCGTTTTGTTCTGGACTGCCAAAGCATGTATCCATAGGGCAACGTTAATATGGGGAGAGGTAGCTATGGGACTTCAAAATGGAAGGAAGCGCCCGTGCACACTTGTCTATAGAAGAATTCATTCGGGCACCACTACGCCACCTTAGAGAAGAATTCATCTGGACACCACTACGCCACTTTTGCACGCCAGAACAAAAGCACAAGAAGAACAGATTACTGTAGCTATGGGACTTCAAAATGGAAGGAAGCGCCCGTGCACACTTGTCTATAGAAGAATTCATCTGGGCACCACTACGCCACCTTAGAGAAGAATTCATCTGGACACCACTACGCCACTTTTGCACGCCAGAACAAAAGCACAAGAAGAACAGATTACTTACCACCATCTGTGAAGAATACAACATGACCCGGGAATGGGGCTGGTGCGGTGTCTTCATGCCGAACAGATTTGGTTCCGCAAAAAGAAGCGCTGAGCTTCACCGCCAGTGGATAATTTCTATGAACCGCAAAAACTACGAGCCTGGTAAAAATGCACCAAAGAGTACACTTACTGCGTGTACTCAAGCGTGTTTCGAGCTGTTTCAATTTACAGCGGTAATTTGCGTGAAGTACGGCTGCGCTATTCGTCACCTGCGTATGCTTGTGAAGAGAATAAGTAAAGCTGAAGTAATCGCAGTAAAATAAGGTAAACGACAGGTATAGAGACCGTTTGCAGCAATGGCCTTCCGTCGCACCATTGAATGAACTAATCTTCAAAAGCACTTCACTATGCTGACCCACCCGATCACAGAAGATATTGTTAATCGCTAATCTTCTGTTAAGCGTAGAGAGCGCAGTGCTCGTCGGGGCGTAGTGCATTTCAATAGTCACGGATGGCTCCACTTACAACGAAGAATCGGAGGTATACATGGCGTGTTTTTGTTGATTGATAATACATTTAGGTTTTGCTTACTTTGCTGATGAATAATATTATCTTACTGTCGATGTTTTAGACTGCACGCCTATGGGAATGATTGTTATGTTAAGCTCTATAAATCAAGCAGCCCTGAGGCTGTGATAGCTTTTTGTTAGCATTCTTTCACTTTACTGCACGCATTTAAACACTGCTTGCAATACGCAATAAGTTTTTTTTGTAGTTATACTGCGCAATTAAAACACAATTTCACATGTATTTTTTAGGACAGACTTTCTGGCAACCTTGGATCACATTACAATTGCACTGTGACGTTTGATAGCAATGAAGTACTTCAATTGTAGAAGTTTTATTGTGCCTTTTGCGAAGACAAGGCATAAATTTATAATCATTGTTGCGAAATGTTCACTAAGTGGAGATAGAAAATGCACCTTGGGAATGGACTATATCTACTCGCACAGTATTAGCTTGTTCTCTGCGTACATATGCTAGAAAACCTAAATACACGCAAAAACACGAATCGTTCTCGTTTTGTTTTCCTAAATTTCGTAGCACTGCTCCTTCAAACGACAACGTTGTGGCAAGATGTCGGCCATTGTTTGAAGGCTTGCAGCCGTTATTTCTCATTACGTCAACAGATTCGGAACTGTACAGAATATTCTACCGCGCAGCATATATATGTCTTGTGTACATTGCTCTGACTAGTACGTGCATTCATGTTTGCAGCACTTACGCCAGGCGCGAACAAGAGCAGCCTCGTACCACACCAAATATAGAGTCTAGAGATTTGTTCACTGGTGATGAAGGAAAGAACTTCAGTTTTCTCCAGCGCGTAATGCACCATAATTATTTCTCGGAATGCATGAACTCCGACGAGAACTACCAGCGCATGCAACACGAGGTTACTTATGCTGCCCTGTGCACCACTCGTGCATGTCGGTTTCACTTTCGGGCATTCTATACTGCGAGTTGTTGGGACTGCACTGTTGGCGTCCACTCATTGGCCTTCATTAACGTTTGTTGTTTTACCATCACAACGCAACAGAAGCTCCTGGCCTTTTTTATGGGCGAAAAAACGAACGCTAGACGTTTCACGCACAGAGTAAAATACTGGGCAAGCGCAACCTTATGGCTACCTAAGGGGGTTTGAAGGAAATGTATACCCGCGAATCCTTTCGCCTGGGGAGAAAAGAGCACTAGTGTTTAAGGTGGAACTTAACCAGCCAAAATGTATTGACTCTCAAATTCGCGTTTCTCGCATTTTGTGGCACTGCCTGAACTTTGCTCAGTGCTTTCCATCCTAGCAATGTGAAGTTATCTTCTTGAAATATGCCCGCCTACATGAATTGGTGGGTAGTTCGTGTTTTGTGTCAATGAGTGCCTATTATGAGACTGGATGCCCGCGCCAAGCTGCCGTAGGGTACCTCGTGTTGATGATTTCTCCAAAGGTGCCGCTTGCCCAAGAGTGCACTCGAGAACTGTCAAAAAGACTACAGCAGCTGAAGAAACTGCTTGCAACTGTAGTTCTGCAGAACCTAAATATGAATCGTGCGCCGAAAAACTCATCTAAAAATTAAGGGACCCTCAAGCTTTGCCTTTAAGAGTTGAACGCGATTAGCGAAATCCGGCCTATAGTGCGCCCTTTAACCGGCCAAGTTCCTACTTATTGGTATTTTTTGTTACACACACAGCGCGCACCACACAAGCACACACACGTGCGCGCAAGCGCGACGTACCTATAGTAATGCAATGACTGTGCAGTGTGGCAACTTCCCTTGGCTAGAACTGCGCTCGGCTGTAGCCGAGACACGTGTCTCACAGATGGCACACAGACCGCAAGCAAGAGTCGCATAGCCTCCAAGATACACACCGTGACCTTGACATTTGAGA